GAAATTAACATCAAAGCGAAAATGATGAGTAAGCGCGTAGGCGTAAGCAATGCTCAGTCGTAGAAGCTCATACATACCAGACAATAAAAAACACCAATGGTACATATGGGTTGTTGCTATAGCAACAGCATGGTTACACAAATTAATCGAAAGGCCTAATCAAATTAAATATGTGCGAACTCAAGTTTATGTGGAGGCAGTACACATTAATGAGCATATGAATATTGTCAGTATGAGATTTTGAAGATTGTCAGATTTCATTAAATTCATTTATCGATCTTAGTTGGATGGTGAGAAGTCATATACTAAGACGAAACAGCGGTCTAATTTATCCAGATTTTTAGTGGCGGTCTAACTTAGGTCGGTTCATGGTTTCGATGATATTGATTGTAACTCAGTCTGTCAGGTAATCATTAAATGCAAGCATGAAAAATAGTCACTTCAAACTTCAAGATAACGGAAAGTCTATGATCATAAGTGGAATAAGACGAGCATAACATATTCGGATTTTGAAACATTTACGATACATTACCCATGTGTTATTAATGAAGGGTTTTTCTACAATGACAAAGTGGATGTTTTAGGCAGGACTCCTACAGTTGTTTTCAAAAGCACAGATTACGTTTTAACTAAGTGAAATGAAGTCGAGATACAAATCTGTAACATCTCTTAGTTTAAAACCAACTAGAAAATCAAACCAGCGTAATTTTAGAATCAAAGTAAATTGGATTACTACAGAGGAATAACAGAATTTCCGATAGTCAAGTTATTAGCTCTTTCGAATACGATCGAAGAAGCGCTCCAAGCAGATCAAGTGACCGAAAATTGTAACACTGAACCTAGCGCTAACATATTTCAAAAATACAAACCACAAATATTGAGCGAGATGACAGTCAGTGCGATGTTCGAACCTCATTCATCAAAGTTAACCGACTGAGATGCTACAGCTTGGTTCGAAGAATTTGAACAGAATCATGGGCTGAGACAAGTGTGCGATAGGTCAGTAGCAAGTGATGAGTTAGTGTAAATACTGCAGCCCCCAGACAAGACCTCAATAACTCAATCAGAACCTCTGAGGCTATTAAGGTGAATGGCATGCGTTCAAATTCATAACTAATCACCATTTCTCCTAAAACTGATGGTAAACCTTGTTTTAGACTATCAACTAGTATGAAACCTAGGTTCAAGGCTTATTCCTAACCACTAGCAATCGTCTAATATACAAATTCTACATTTGAACACAATCTCATCATTAAACTGACTCGATAGTCACTTTTGAAAAGGTACTAGAAATAAAACTATCCTGAGACGTTAATTGCTTTCTTAAGTTTTTGACGAGAAACAAGCCATATTATTCAGTATAGTTTTTTATGTTAATTTATAAAACATCTATTTTACTATGTATTTCCATGAATATACTTACCCAAATGTAAAAACGGGTACATTGATAGTATTTTAACGAATAGTGGTAATATGTTTTGTTGGGGATGTTAGATCCTTGGAACTCGCTTGATAAATGCCTTATCACGTTTGCAAACATGGGCTGAAAAGTCGACCTTGTGATTCCCTTTCACAACAGGAATATCCATGGCTGTATTTGCCTGCTGTGTATTTTAGTGTGCTATTTTTGTGACTGTCCCAAGGAAGTTTCTATGATGCATAAATAAACGGTTGTTGTGTGCTTGATTGCACTGTGATTGCACTGTGTGTTGTAGAATTTGTTTCAACGCTTATCAAGACTTCTGTTTTGCAGTTTTGGATACAAGGTAGCCTACCTGGACGCTGATAATTGTCTCGTTCGCAGTTGTTTGTATCTATCGTTTTTCATTAGTTGATTCTTTCTGCAAGATATCACGTATTGAATCACATCGTCACTCATGCTTGTGCAATCTGCAATGTTTCGTAATAAATCCGTCAATCTTGCGATGCCTATATGTTCTACCTGGTGACATTCGTGTATCATCTTACGCCGACAGTGTTTCAGGATTACAACAACCCATTTCTTGTCATCGTCCCGCCAGGTCAGGACTTCAGATGCGTTCACTCTCAGTCGTTCCTTTTGCTTGAGTAACATTATTACCTCCTTGTCCGTCCTTCATTTGTCTACGTCTGCTCCTTATTTTATCACTCTGATTACATCTCGAAGGTCCGGGTCAGCTTTCTGTTGCCGGATGAGTTCCAATGGGTCTCCCTCTAAACTACTCACCGCGTATGCTGTCAATGGAAGGTCATCTCCCATGACTGATCTTGACAAGTAATCCGCCATTACGTTTTCTTTTCCTGGAACATGACCGATACTGAAGTCGTATTCTTGCAGACGTATCATCCACCGCGCCAACTTCTCTCGAGGGTCTCTTGCTGTTCTCAACCACTGCAGGAGTTTTTGGTCAGTCTCAATGTGAAATCATCTACCTAAAAGGTACGGTCTCCATCTTTCTACTGCCCACACGACTGCTAGTCAATCATTTTCGATCGTTGAGTACTTCTGCGCGACGGGTGTGAGAACGCGACTTGCGTATTCCACCACTCTATCAGCCTGACTCAATACCGCACCTATACCATGATCACTTGCATCTGTGGCCACTGTAAACAGTTTCCCGGGTTCAGGCAGTCGCAGCGTCATCTGAAGATCGTCTAGCATGTTTCTGATTGTTTGTTTGTTAGGCCGCCTCAGTCCATGTAAACTTGGTGTTGCTCAGCAATTTCTTTAAGGGCGCTGCTATTTCGTTGAAATTCTTGATAAACCGACTATAGAACGGCGCTCTTCCCAGGAACTGTCTCAACTTCCTTTTCGAATTAGGTACTGCAATATTTTCATGGTAGAAATGCTCTCCGGTAATGGCTTGATTTCTCCATTTCCCAATATATGTCCCAACAATGTGACGCTGTTTTTCGCTATTTCCTTATTAATTCGAAGCCCGAATTCGTCGATTCGCTTTAAGACTGCTTCCACATGCTGGACGTCATCTGTTTCCGTCAGGCTGTACACAACTAAATCGCCACCATATACCTCGACATTATCTAGATTCTTAAGCAGCAGCGTCCTTAATCTACTGAACGTAAACGGTGCACCCGACAACCCGAACGGCATTTGTTTAAATTGATACTGTCTATCCCTTATAGTAAATGCTGTCCTGTTGCGATCACTATCTTTTATAGGTAGTTGTTAATAACCTGACCGTAAATCCAGCACTGTAAACACCATGGCATTCTGTAGCTTATCTAATGTTTCTACTACTGTTGGCATTGCGCACGGTTTCAGGTCTGTTATATCATTCAGTTCTCTAAAGTTGACACAAAATCTATACTTTCGATTGGGCTTCTATACCAAAAGTATCGGTGAGCTACATGAGCTGTTCGCTTCCACAATTATACCTTCTTTCAACATTTCCTGGACCTGTCGATTTACCTTGGCCACTAAATGCACCGGGACACCACGTGTTGCAAATATTTTTATTCGGTCCTTCTTTATCAGAATTTCGTGCTTTACTTTGTCACAAAATCCATACGGCTCCCCATCTCCAGTGAACAGTTTCGCATACTTTGTGCATAACTCGTTAATGTTTGGTTTCTTGATCCAGACGTCCGTTGTCACTCTTATTTCAGCCACTTTGCTCCTTTCGTGTATTGGCAGTGAACCGTACTTTGTGACCATTTGACCGCTTCTCAAGTCAATTATCGCATTTACCTCTCTTAGGAAATCTGCTCCTAATATCGGTCTTGATAAGCTTGTGGTTACCACGAACGGAAAATTTATCTCAGCTCCACTCATTTTTATAATACTGTTAGATACTCTCAACAACTCCAGCATATGCCCTGCTATGGTGTGGACAGCTAATGTACATGGTTTGATTGTCTTACATTGCTCTTTGCCTATTAACGATATTGCTGCCCTTGTATCGATCAAACACACTAACTCCTGTTCATTTATGTACACTCTGGTATAATTGCCCCTCTATCTACTAGTGCAAGAACCCACAGATTCCTAAGGTGGAAATAACACACGTTATAATGTCTAAAATATTTTCGTCGTCGTCTTCTTGGACAGTTTATGTTCCAATGTCCTGTCTCTCCACAAGCGTAACATTTATCGTTCCTTTTATGATCCACTAGTAATGCTGCTATCTCACACTCTAACTCCTCAATCTTATTCTCGAAAGTATTTATCTCCTGCTTTGTGCACCTGGCCGGAGCTACTGTTCGTGTCATCAGCTGAGGAGTCACGTTCTCCAGATCACGGATGTCCATAGGTTGCGCTGCATTTACTAGTCTCAGCTGCTGGGACGCGGAGGCAGGCACAGTCTCGTTAAACTGCTACGTCAACAATTGTGCCTCCGTCTCCCCATCGATATTCGGCAGCGCACGGCGCAACAACCTGGTAAGCTCCACAGCCGGCACCAGTGGATCACCATCGACGGGCACCTTCGCAAACAAGAGCTTATACAGCGCCTCCTCCCTGTCCACTTGGCTGTCGAACCCCGACATCAACAGCACCGTGACCATCACCTAGCTGTCTTCTTGCCAGCACCGTCTAAGCTGACGTATACGGCCTTTGCCCTACCACTCAGTGGCGTCCTCAGGACCATCAACTTCGCCTGCGGCTCCTTCACACCCATCACCTCCACCACGGCGTCGAACCCCTTCAGGAAGCTCCAGACATCTCCGTCCTCGAAGTCCCTCAGCCACGGAATCTTCATCCTTTGTGTAGACAGCGACACCAAACGTAGTGAATAAGAACACAGATGAGGGCAAACGAATTGTATTTATCTCAAATTACAAAGTTAATTGATCAAATAGGAAAACCATATCGTAAATCGTTAATTTGCAAAATATCAATACATCATATCGAAATGGACTGTTCCTTTTGCAAAACATCAAGCCATTGTCTCACATTTCACTGTTCATGCGTTTCATACAAATCCCATTGTGTTCCCGCTCTTCGTAATTGATCTTCCCCCATCTTCTGCTGCCAGACATTACGTTTACACTTACGCCATATACTACTTATAAGTAGCGCGCACTACAGTAGTAGTAGTGGTAGTTGTTGTTGTGGTAATCGTAGTATTATTATTATTATTATTAGTAGTAGTAGTAGTAGTAGTAGTAATAGCAGTAGTAGTAGTAGTTGTTGTTGTTGTTGTGGTAATCGTAGTATTAGTATTAGTATTAGTAGTAGTAGTAGTAGTAGTAGTAGTAGTAGTAGTAGTAGTAGTAGTAGTAGTAGTAGTAGTAGTAGTAGTAGTAGTAAAACTAAACATAGTGGACGAAATAGTAGTAATGTAAATTATTTATTGATATCTTAACTTTACGCAAATAAACATATGAGAAAATAGTATTTATCATGCATAGACAGCACCTAATCGTTCATTCTATATGTATCAGGTTATGATCGACTGAAATCAAAATATTATTTGACTACAAATTTCATGACTATTAAGAAAGTCACCATAAACTTTGAAAGCAGTTGAACACTCCTTTTGTTTAACTCTGGTTGAATCGGTAGTATTTACAATCAATTGTGTCTGAGATGTTTTGTATATATTTAGTTATTTTATGCGTTGTCATGAACTGTTGAAATAATTTTAATCTTTTATTTATTACTGAATTGTTGATTTAAGAGAAATTTCAGTCAATTATCACTGTTATTAAATTTCATTCGGCAATCGCTTACACAGGCAAGTGTGACAAAAAGTTGAATTTCTTTGACATCAAACTAAGTAGACGGATTGACGGCTCGCTAAGTAGGAGGGCGGACGGAAAACGTTCCTGTGCTTGCTAGTATACTCACTTTTACAGTTTAAGTCCTATCCACTACAAAAGAAATTTGGTTGGATGTCTCAAAAGCAGGGCAAAATTGATCCCTTCAGTAGAATCTTTTAGTTAAAAGCTGGACCGAGATCGGCTACCTCAGCAAGTTCTTAAAGAATTATATGTACACTGTCAAAAATAAGTCGGACACTTTGTTCAGAAAAAGTTTCATTAAAAGTCGTTCCTGATATAAAAGTGACAGTACTTATCAGGACATTCTACGCAGTCAGTATTGCGTTGACTTTCTCAAGTCGACCAGTGATATCTATTCAAACGAACGATAAGTTTTCTTAGTTGGCCTCCTAATTCAGCGTTAATAAATTCAGATGCTTCTGTGGGGATAAATATATCGGGAGTACTAAATGGTAACTTAACCTCACGAATGAGTGAACATCTCCCAGCATGGTTTAGAAAGGCCATATAAATTCAATACACAGCTTTATCTTGACATATCTGATTGATAGCGGCCATAAGATATATTAAACGGGATCATTTCCAGCGATTCGTCGTATACATACATCACTTAACAACGGAAGAATAGGATAGACGCCCCGCAATCTCTTTCTTGATTGTATATAACCTAAGAAATTACTATTATTATTTACTTTTATTTTTCATTATCATTCACATCATGTTATTACTGTTATATTTTGTCTATCTAATTAGACTACACTCTTCTTAATAATTAATGATTAGCGTCTTTTATGATGATTATTGTAAGTCTATTTTATCTATGTTTACCTATTAATTCCACTGGTCAACTATTGAAAAAAAACATTTGTTATTTTATTGTATTGTATTTTATTACAGTACACCTGCCCTGCTAATATCAAGTTATACTTCTACATATTATGTGTAGTTACGTAACCTATTTCATTGTGGTCGGTGTAACACTTTTATATAAATATTCATGTATATTAGAGTAAAGCATGATGAGTATACAATGCAAAACAATATTGTTCGCCTTGATGTGTTGTTCAAAACTCAAGTAATTATTGTTACTCAAAAATCACCAGTTCGACTGTGAAAAGCGTCATTTGATTCAATATAACTTATTCATCATCTGTATTACTGCGTTACTGTTTTATTGTCAGTCTTATATGTGAATACTTGACAGTGAAAAACTTGAAGATTCACAGCGTCTGTTTCAAAGAGGAAGAATGTCCAACTAGATCCGAAAAGACAACAGTTTGTTTGAGTAAACTCCACAGAGTTAAACGTCTATGAAATAAAGTCAACTAGATTCAGTAAACGATTTCAGAAATTATGGAACTTAAAGTGTTTGCGTCGGTATTTCACTTATTATGCTTCTTGAAGTTTTGCCACTGAACAGCAGAAACAATAAGCTGAAAAAGCATGCATTACTCTCACTAGCCTCAACCTATTCATAAGTCGATTTCTAATGGCAGCATCAATCTAGCGTCAAACCAGTCGGCCGTTTTGGGAAATTTTGACTTGTAATGACTGATAGTGTCTTACAAGGAGATAATATGAAGTGGGATTTGGAGATCATTTCACAACTTTTCACACAACCTTGTCCATATTTACTACTCTGGAAGGAAAATATATCGTTCGACTAGATCCACAAAGACAACAGTTTGTTTGAGTAAACTCCACAGAGTTCAACGTATATGAAATAAAGTCATATACACTCAGGGGACGATTTCAGACATATAAAGTGGTTTTCCGAGAATAATTTCACAACTTTTCACACAACCATGTTCATATATCCAACTCCGGAAGCAAATATATGTCGAACTGATTTTCACAGAAATTAAATTTCCCCATTATCGATTCGCAAACAGCTAATTTGTTACGAAATATTCATTCATAAATGATTCCTACGTATGATCGCATTGTGAACTTGCAATTTCAGTGAAACTGTCAGTTCGTTCGATTTCCATCAATCTCATTCATCCATTCATCATTCATTGTGTAATCGACAATTCTATGCGAAATCAGCTAACAACAAACTGATCAGCAATCAAAATAAATCAAATCACTCTTCTCTCAAAGTACTCTCAAACTGATTTCACGAATTATAGCGAAATCTATCACTAGCACTTCCTAAATTCATCGGTCATTTAACGTCACTAATATTTGTGAGTAATCGCAGTGAACATTTGTATTTTACAGAGACCACCACTATAAGAGATCACCACTAAAACGATAATATAAATACTGATCACAAGCTTATTTAGATTTGTAAGCGGTTTCTCAATCATATGTGCACTAATGTAATCACATGGATGTCGGCATCATTTTAGTTCATGGTTATTGAGTTGTAAGGAACAAATACATTCGGATATACATTTCCCGTGATTCTCAATATTTTCAGACAACTTTCATTATATACGGTATTATAATTGAAGACAACAACAGATTCGCGGAAAAGCATACAAAACAGCAACGTTTATTTAAATGACTACTAGTGAAATCTAACACAAAGTGCATTGATGCTATAAATTCATCAGTCAAACTACGGGACATTCCTCGTTACTCGTCGTAAACATTATCAGTTGTCGTTTCACTAAGAACGCTTGCCGAGTAAACTGCTGTCCTAGGCATTCTGCATCGTTTCAACCTGTCTTTAGAGTCACCTTCATACCATGCATATACGGAGTGAACTCTGTGTGTTAGGCGTTCAACACAATGCGCATGTTTAATTGCAGTACATTTTCCTCGAAAGTTTGTCCCACTAAAAGTAAATACAAAGTGAAGAAAGAACAAATAAAATTTAATGAATATCAAGTTCAACAGTGTTATCATAACCAAATAACCAATGACAACGAATGAGATATCGAGAGCATACTAACTTCATCAACGTCATTAAACTAGCTCACTATTCAAACTCTGCAAAACGGCATGCTACAATTAGAGCATGTTAAAAATATCCGTTGATCAATGAACTTAGGATGGAACATTGAGGGGTCCATTGAACAAACAGATTTCGTTTATTTATTCATGTGGTCACGTAGTTGGATAATATGTAACGTATTACGATTTTGTAGAGCGCACTGCGCAGACGCTCAACATGCGTTACACATATACTACACAGACTACTGTATCATGTGACACCACTGTATGTATCATTGTTAACTCTGGTTATATGATCAGCAGAGACGAGCACTCTCTATGTTTATTGGAATAAACTTGGTATTGTGTACGTTAACATGAAAAGGAATCGTTGTGTTGTCTGTCAGTGCACCATAGTCACTACACACCATTTGTCACGGTTCTACGGAACACTGGTAAGCAATTCACTCAATGATGTTACATACTTACATCTCTAAGTTAATCAATGCAACAACAACGAACTTGACTTCACACGGAAACATATTTACGTGATTGTTGTGGTTTATATCATTTATGCTGGGTTCGAATGAAGAGCAAGCAAGCGATCAAGTAATTAACCTCATAAGTGTGGTGTAAATAATTGCTTCAGTCAATGCAACTTACAAATATAATAACCAATATTTTGGATTCCAATCTTCCCCAAAACTAGCTGCACACGCTGATCTCAATTGTCTGAATAGACAATAAATGATATTTCGATTGCTATCACAAATATCAACCCATTGTCCTCGCAGATATCCATTGTATAGTCTTAAACACTTTCGTACTATCAGAGAATTTGGTTTTTTATCTACGGCGATCGCTGATGTACACATGAGTACAGCAATAAATAGAGTTGAATATATTGACATGGTTTTCAATCAGTTTATGAAAATAATCTCAGCAGACCAATTTATATTATCCACTTGAAGGTCATTTCAAGTAATTCGACTCTTGGTAATAACGAAAATAAAAAGAAATCACGACACTCATCATATGATAATAGTCCAAATGTCATAGCAAGATTCAAACGCTACACTTTGAAAACTTATCGTATAAATCCGTCTCAATGCAACTGCACGTAGTTTAAAACATTTCTAACAATATGAATTTATTAGTTGTCAAATAATAGTAGCATGAAGTTCTGTTTTCAGTCCGGTTGTTGACTATGTAAACTGTACGAATGTTGACTAGATGAATTCAAGTAGAAACAAAATTTTGGACTATGGTGAATAAAATATATCGAGTTGAGTTGTTTTGATGACCTTTAGCTTTTATGCTGCAATCTATTAAATTTTCTGTTGTACGATAGATTGTTGATTAATGATCATAACATATGAAATTACATGTAGATGACTTGTTGTATTCGGTGATGAATAAAATTGTTGAAAAGAGTGAATATTGTATAAATGAATCCACTTATGATAGTATTCAATATCAATTTTATTCCACGAGTAACTAGAAGTACATGGTCATGTGTAACTCTATCAATACACTCATTTTTATTTACATAAACGAACCTAAGAGTAAAGCACATAGTCCGAGTTATAGTGAATAAAGTTCACAGCCATTATCTATACATCATGAGTCGAATGTGATCAGTTTGTCCAATGTA